CTTAACCGCAGAAGCATTCATTGCTTGTCTGAAGAGGTTCTTTGCCCGACGAGGTAAACCAAAAAAAATATTTAGTGACAATGCAAAAAACTTTGTTAGTGCAAATACAGAAATTAAAAAATTAATGAGTATTTTTCTAAAGCACAATGGAACTTTAGCTAATTTTCTAGCCGAGGAAGGTGTACAATGGAAGTTTATACCCCCAAGAGCACCAAATTTTAATGGCCTATCTGAAGCAGGAGTAAAATCTTTTAAATTTCATTTTAAACGAACAGTAGGAAATTCAGTATTAACCTACGAATAATTTTTGACAGTAACAGTTCAAGTAGAGGGAATCTTAAATTCTCGCCCTCTTACACCGTTAACTTCTAATATTGATGATTTAAATGCTTTGACCCCTGGTCATTTCCTTATAGGTCGACAGATCAATTCAATAATTGAACCCAATTTAACAGAAGTAGATAATAACAGACTTAGTTTATGGCAAAAAACTACAAAAATGGTACAAAATATATGGAAGAACTGGACTAATAATTACTTGAGCACTTTGATTCAAAGGAATAAATGGATGATTGCTAAACAAAATATTAAAATAGGGGATATGGTAGTGATCAAGGAAGAAAATCTTCCTACCTGCAAATGGGTTGTTAGGGAGAATTGTAGATGTGTTTTATGGGAAGGACAACCTTGTGCGAGTTGTCTCCTGTCCAAAACCAAAAATGGTATTTATAAGCGAGCAGTTACTAAAATTGCTGTACTGCCAATTGAGAAATAATGTACGAATTTTTTATGTTTATTTGAAGGTTTGAATTGTAATCCATCATATTTGTTCTTTTCACATTGTAATTAGATGTATTATAATTTGTGCATTAATTTACATTGTATCATTTTGTATTGTATGAACATTTATTACTCTTTTGAATTTTACGTATTGTATTGAAATTAATATTTCAACGCCGGGCGGGATGTTCGGTATCTGAAAGAGTATTGCTTGGCAGCATTGTTTTACGCCAAGCAGAGTTTGGCTTTAGTGTAACCCTAAAGTTATTTCGTTTTTGTCTTATTAGTATGCATGATTTCTGACTTGATGTAAGAGCATATGGTTGCTCAATCTTAGCTAAGTTACATAGGTAACTATAAGCACATGCGTGTGCTAGTATTCAATAACGTTGTTTTTGTTAAAATAAATTTGTTATTGTTAATATTACAGTCCACTTACTGAAGTTAAGTTTCATTAAATAAGTTCGAGCTATCTTCAGCAAGAACAACAGCTATTCATAATTACAGCTAGTCGCATTCCAGTCCTTTTTCTAATTACTGCGCGCGCTTCGATGCTTGGCACTGTGCCAGCTTAAATTCCGATTATGATATACACATTGATAATTCTCGATATACTATATCCCTCCCCCTTTATCATAACTGCAGTCTATCTGGGGGACGTCGAATTCTACTGGACCGACGCAAAGGTTGTGGCACTGCAGGTTTCTTTGGTAACCTGGTTGTATCAGCAACAGGTCCGGTTTATGGAACATCTGGTACAACCTTGAACTCGGAGGACGACACAGACTCATCTGCCTGGTGGCTATTATTTTTGGATGGTTCTGGAACTCCACTCTGATCAGGCTCTTTGGAAATCACGGAAGCTGGAGGTGGATGTATAAACACCTCATCTGTTATGGCTCCTTCATCACCGCATCTGATCGATATGTTGTCGCCATGAGTTGACCGTCTACATTTATGGTGTAATGAAGCTGTCCATCCTTGGATTGGACGGTACCAAATCTCCATCGTCTATCACCTTGGCGATAATTTCTTACTGCCACTTTATCTCCAACTCTAAATCCTCGGTCTGCAAACTCGTAGGTTCCTTTTCGAATTCTGTCTTCCACCCTCCTTTTGAGATCTGGTTTCAATAAATCTATTCTTGTTCGAATTTCCCTCTTCAGCATTAGCATTGCAGGGCTCTGCAGAGTAGTTAAATTCGGAGCTTTTCTATACTGCATCAAAAATGTACTCAGTTTTTGTCTCGATGTTCCTGGATAATTTTGCATTGTTCTTAAAGAACATTCAGACACATTCAGAACAGTTTTTGGAAGTATTTTCGATATCTTTATCTATACCATTCCAAAATACGTAAGATTGCTTTCATCTTTACAGTCCCTAAATGTCCGTGGTGCAATTTTTTCAAACATTCTCACGGTATCGTTTTGGAATACAAACGCGTTGACCGTACATTATATAGTCATCTTGGAGACTGTACTCCACCTCCCTTCCTTTTAATTCACCGCCGCTTTGAAGTATTCGTAGCAGAGGACTGAGTTCTGCATCATTTTCAGTTTCTTTATCCAAATCTCTGGCCGTGATGGGAAGAATTTCAATCTGCTGTAATTGAAAAATAGTTACATCATCCTGAACAGATAGTTGCTCTGAATTCGTCAGCAATCGTGATAGAAAGTCAGCATTACCATGCTCGTTTGTTTTCCCGTAAATGATATCGAATTGGAATGACTGTAAAGCCAAAGCGTAATGTAGGAGTCTTGTTGCTACCAAAACTGGCATGCCTTTCTTTGAGCCCAAAATTGCAGCAAGAGGTTTATGATCTGTAATTAATGTAAATTTTCTGCCTTTTAAGTACAAATTTTTTTTTTTTTTTATTCCCAAAATGATTGATAAAGCTTCTTTTTCGTCTTGAGAATATTTCTTCTCTGTTTCAGTCAGTGTTCTTGAAGCATATGCAGTTGGTCTTTCTGTTCCATCAGGAAGTTTGTGAGAAAGTACCGCACCTAACCCTACTGGTGATGCATCAGTTGCCAATGTTAAGGTCAATTTTGGATCATAATGCATCAAAACGTTTTGTGAACACAATTCTTTTTAATGCTTAGAAAAGCCTCCTGACAATCCTGCGTCCAAACGCATTTTGAGTTTTTCTTAGTTAATTGATATAAGGGATTTGCGATTATCGCTAATTTAGGGCAAAATTTTCCATAAAAATTAACCAATCCCAAGAAGCTTTGAATTTCCTGGACATTTCTGGGTCTTGGGGCTTTTGCAATCGCTGATATTTTATCATCAGTTTTATGTAAACCATTAGCATCAATTTTATGACCTAAAAATTGTATTTCATCCTGAAAAAATTTACTTTTCTCTAAATTTAATTTCAGTCCATTAGTTTTACATTTTTCGAAGAAATTTTTTAAAGTATTTAAATGTGTCTCATCATCCATCCCTGTTATCCGCGCATCATCCATAAAGACCTTAAACCCTTCTATTCTGTAGAATAGTCCGTCTACGTAACGTTGTCAGATTGCCGGCGCTGCATTTAACCCGAACATTAATCTCTTACACTTATATAATCCTTTCTGTGTGTTTATTGTTGGCAATTTTTGAGTCTCAGGGTATACCTTCATTTGTAAATAAGCATGTTCAAAATCAATTTTTGAAAAATTCTTTTCCCCGCTCAAACATGAAAATATTTCCTCTATGGTCGGCAAAAGGTGTTGATGCGTAACAATATTTGGGTTTACTGTCACCGAGTAGTCGGCACACAGTCGTATTGAACCGTCCGGCTTAACTACTAGTACTACCGGAGTTGCTCATTCCGACGTTTCAAACCTTTTCGTTTATACCCTCTTTTTCTAAGCAATCAATTTCTTCATCTATCCGGCCCTTTAACGCAAATGGTACTTGACTAGCTCTACAAAATTTTGGTGAAACATTTGGCTTCAATTCAAGTTGAACCTAATAATTTTTTATCTCTCCTAATTTTCCGTCAAAAATCTCTTTATATTGTTCCAATAATTTATTTAAACTATTCTTTTGAGAGACAGAAATTGACTTTATTGAGGTCCAATCTAAATTTATTTCTGAAAGCCATTCTCTACCGAATATTCTATCAAGGTTTTCTTTAACAATGTAAAGATTTAAGTTTTTATTTTAACCTTTATATTCTACCTTAACTGTAGTAAATCCTAAAGGTATTAGTTTTTCTCCATTATATGTTTTAAGTACCAGACTTGTATTTTTAATTTTGTTTTTCGAAATTTGCCGTAATTTTTTTACTCATTACCGATACTGCACCCTCTGTATCCAATTCCATAGCTACCGGTTTTTCTTCTATGTTTACTTGGACCATTATGGGCGGTTTCCTATTTTTCACCTCACTGAAAGGTATGTTGTTTATAGGAACTGTATTTTCATTTCCTACATCTAATTGTTTTTGTTTCTCTTTCATTATTTCAGCGTTTTTAGCGTTGTAGCATGCTCTTTCAATGTGCCCGATTTTCTTACAAAATCTGCAGATACTTGTCTTAAATTTACAAGAATTTTTATCATTTTTACCATCGCGAACACAATTTGACTTTAGCACTCTTAGCTGCGAAGGTTTGTTTTTTAAACTTTTGTGTAGAATCTGATTTCGAGAGTATCAGTACTCTTATACCCGAAAATTTCTGGGAACGAGAGTAGAGGAGAATGTAATGTAACTGCGTAAATAGCGCATCGCTGTTGTCTTATGAGTTAGAAATACTAAATGTTTGTACCGTGAACTAGTCTGTTTCGGTTGCGTCATGCACTTCACTGAACCCACACCTGCAGACATAATATATTGGCGACGAGGCTGTGTAAGAAGAAAATCGTTCCCGACTCGGCGCACTCGGTTACATGCGTAAAGTAGCAGCAAAACCGAAACTTGGATTTAGGGGATTCCCCGAAACTGCAATGTAGCATCTGATTTCGAGAGTATCAGTACTCTTATACCGGGAGAACCTCTGTGAACGAGAGTAGAGTAGAATGTAATGTAACTGCGTAAATGGCGCATCGCTGCTGTCTTATGGGTTAGTTAGAAATAGATGTTTGTGCCCTGAACTAGTGTCTTTTGGTTGCGTCATGCATTTCACTGAACCCACACCGCTAGACACAACAAAGTAGGAAAGTTATTTGATTTTTATTTTGAAAGAATGGAGAAGTTAATTGAAGAATTAATAAAGCAAAATGAAGCTTTAATGGTCGCATTGCAAGAGAAATCGAAACATAAACAAGACAAAATTTCTGCTTCTTTTGATAAGTGTGATGAAACGGTAGAAAATTTTGATTCGTTCACAGAACGATTTGAGGCTTTTTTGGACATTCAAAATGTTCCAGAGGCAAAACGTGGGAAAGTTCTGATCTCAAGCTTGAATGCGAAATTGTATAATTTGTTGAAAAATTTACTCTCTCCGGATAATCCTTCAGATAAAAATTTTACCGAACTAAAAAAGGTTCTTAAGGATCATTTAAATCCTAAAGCTTTAATAATACCTAGTCGGCACATGTTTATTAATAGAAAACAGCATGAGGGGGAATCAATTAGTAGTTATGTCACTGAATTACGCTCGTTAGCGATTCCTTGTGAATATAAAGAGGATATGCTAAATACAATGTTAAGGGATGTTTTCGTTAGCGGTCTACGAGATCGTAATATCTTAGATCGATTATTTCAGGAAGATGATATCGATTTAGAGAAAACATTAAAGATAGCCTTGGCGATGGAAAAGGCGGTTAAGGGTGCAAATGAGATTATAGGAAATTCCGTAGAACTGAAGGTACTTAAAACCAAGAAAAATGAGTCCAAACCGCGGAAACAAAACTTTGTTGCTAAGAATAATAAAGGTAAAAATGAAACTTGTTCGCGTTGCTTAGGAGCAAATCACAATAAAAACAACTGTAGATTTGCAACAAGTGAATGCCGCTTTTGTAAAAAAATTGGACATATCGAAAAGGCGTGTTATTTGTCTAGGAAAAACCGACAGGTTAAACAAAAGAAAGTTGAGGCAAATAATGATTATGATTCGAAAAATGAGGTCCCCATCTATGGATTTAACTCCAGAACGCACATGTTAAGAGAGGAAGAGCCAAAAAGACCGCCAATAATGGTTCAAGTTAAAATTGAAAACAAACCAGTTAGCATGGAACTTGATACTGGGGGAACAGTTTCGGTAATGTCTATAAATAAATTTAGAAAAATTTCCAATAAAAAGATTCAGCCTACAAATTTAGTTTTTAAAACTTACAGGGGTGATAAGGTGGTACCTTTAGGATATGTTCCTGTTAAAGTTGAATACCAAGGTCAAAAATTAGTTTTAAAATCTATACATTGTGAAGGAAAATTTGGACACACAATCTTCGGCCGAGAATGGCTGTATAAAATCAATCTCGATTGGAATGCCATCAAAACATTGAAAACTTCTAGTGAATTGAATTTTTAAAAAAATTGCTTGAGGAGTATAAGGAAATTTTTGACGGTAAATTAGGTGAAATTAACAATCACGAAGTAAAACTAAATTTGAAACCTAATACTCAACCAATATTTTGTAGGTCACGACCGGTACCTTTCGCATTAAAAAATAGAGTTGAATCAGAAATTGATCGGCTTGAGAAAGAAGATATCATTGAGAAGGTTGAGACTTCAGAATGGACAATACCAGCTGTGCCAATTGTTAAATCTGATGGTTCTATTAGGCTTTGTTCTGATTATTCTGTGACTCTGAATCCTAATTTGGAAGTGCCACAGCATCCATTACCAAAACTCGAAGAAATATTTTCACTTAATGGAGGTAAAAAATTTTTCGAAACTTGATTTCAGTCATACTTATCTATAAATGAAGGTGCATCCGGAGAGCCAACGGTTATTAACAATAAACACGCATAAGGGGTTGTATATTTGTAAACGCTTAATGTATGGATTAAATGATGCCCCAGCTATTTGGCAGCGCTATGTTGAGAGATTATTTCAGGGGATTGAAGGAATTAAAATTTTTATTGATGATGGTCGAGTGACAGGACCGGATGATCAGTCTCATTTAAAAGCATTGGAAATATTTTTCAAAAAATGCAAGGAGCACGGCCTAAAATTAAACTTAACTAAAAGTAAATTTTTTCAAAATGAGATTAAATTTTTAGGGCATAAAACGGATGAAAAGATTTCGGCAATTGCTAATGCCCCTACGCCGAAAGGCGTCCAAGACATCAAAAGCTTTTTGGGATTAGTGAATTTTTATGCCAAATTTTGCCCTAATTTGGCAACTTTGGCACATCCCTTAAATAATTTAACAAAAAAAGATGTTAAATGGAGTTGGTCAAAAAACTGCCAAATCGCTTTTGAAAAAATAAAAAAGGAAATTTGTTCAGACAGAGTTTTAATGCATTACGATCCCACATTACCGTTAATGCTAGCTACTGATGCATCTCCGGTAGGTCTTGGGGCAGTGCTCTCGCATGTTTTGTCTGATGGAACAGAAAGGCCTATAGCATTCGCATCGAGGACACTGACTAACACAGAGCAGAAATACGCCCAAATCGATAAAGAAGCACTGTCAATTGTTTGGGCTGTCAAAAAGTTTTATCTATATCTAAAGGGGAGACGATTTTCTCTGGTGACAGATCATAAACCTTTAGTGGCTATTTTCAAATCGAAAAGAGGACTTCCTATCCTCACAGCCACCCGACTTTTACATTATGCACTGATATTGCAAGCATATCAGTTTGATATTGTGTATCGAAATACCAAGGAACACGGTAATGCTGACTGCCTGTAGGGCCTGCCTCTTAAGTCCGAAGATTTAAGCATTAAGGATGATGTTGAAATATTCCAACTCTCCCAAAAATTGAAACTCTTCCGGTAACAGCTAGGGAGATAGCTCGGGAAACGCGAGCTGATGAAGAATTAAATAGTCTTTATATGAAATTAAAATCTGGAGAAAGTTTGGAAGGTAGGGAGGGAAGCCGAGTACACCTTACAAGATGACTGTATAATGAGTGGTCAGAGGGTAGTTGTTCCGAAAAAACTCCGAGTTAAAATTCTCGAAGAGTTACACCAAGGACATTTAGGAATCGTTAAAATGAAGGCAATCGCCAGATCCTTACGTCTTTTGGAAGGGAATTGATCATGATATTGAAGAAGAAGTTTCTAGGAACTGTGTCGATTGTATTAAGTTCAAATCAGATCCAGTAAGGGCAAGGGTCCATCACTGGGAATATCCAAGTGCGCCTTGGGAACGCATTCACGTAGATTTTGCAGGCCCTATTTTTGAACGAATGTTCTTGATTATCTTTGACGCACATTCTAAATGGTTAGAAGTGTATACCTTAAAGTCAGCAAATTCCTTTCAGACAATTGAATGTTTGAGAGACTGTTTTGCAAGATACGGACTGCCTTTAGTAGTAGTGAGTGACAATGGTCCTCAGTTCACATCGGGAAATTTGAAACTTTTATAAGGAATAATGGAATTAAACACAAGACGTGTGCTCCATTTAAACCGGCAAGTAACGGACAAGCAGAGCGGTACGTTTACACCGTTAAACAAGCATTACGTGCAATGCAAGGTTATCCAGGAAATATTATGCAAAAACTTGCCATATTCCTCATGAATTATAGAAAGGCACCGAACATGACAACCTTGTTAAGTCCAGCAATGTTATTCTTAAAAAGAGAAATAAGAACTCGAATTGATTTAGTTGTTCCAAATCTTAAACGAAGAGTGGAAGAACGCATCCGAAGGAATACTTATGATTTCAAAGACAGAAATTTTTGAGATCGGAGAAAAGGTTGCCATTCGGGATTATAGATCGGCAAATTCCCGATGGAAAATTGGCAGGCAGAGTGACAAATAAGGATGGAGCGCTGCATTATACCATTGACGTTCAAGGAACTTTACTGCGCCGGCACGTCGATCAGATCAGATCGGTAGGGAGCGAGGTTCCGTCTGCACCGGTAATCTATGAACCTCGTATGGCTGCTACTTCAGATGGCAACGTGAAGCCACAGGCTCCGGACAAGGACATCGAACAAAGAAGTGAAGCTGTGCAAACTTCAGCCGGACTTGAAACATCGTCAGTTCCAAGGAAAACTGAGCCAGTCATTCCAGTGAATCCTGATAAAGAGTTGCAGCAACCCCAGCCAGGACTTAGACGATCTTCGCGCATCCGCAAAGCTCCTCAGAGATTAAATCTCTAAATAAGTGGGGAGGGATGTAGCATCTGATTTCGAGAGTATCAGTACTCTTATACCCTAGAACGTCTGTGAACGAGAGTAGAAGAGAATGTAATGTAACTGCGTAATAGCGGATCGCTGCTGTCTTATGAGTTAGTTAGAAATAAATGTTTGTGTCGTGAACTAGTCTGTTTTGGTTGCGTCATGCACTTCACTGAACGCAACGCGACTAACATTTTTAGAGCGACTAATGATTACTTATCTGCACTAAAAATATTTCCATATTTTTGACCTTTAAGTTTTTATTGCCAAGTATTAAGTATCATCTAACTGAATATCTCAAATCTATCCAATAGGCTATCTCTAAGCAAACAAATACATCCCGCAACATCGTATTTAACATGTTCTAATCGTAATCACCCCGAATAGAAAATATTTGAATATATAAAGTAATGGGGAATACAAAGCTTACCAAAATAAGAGAATCCCTTAATTTTTTATTTTTAAAATTTACATTACTCGTGTCCCACAATACAACATTTTCTCTATAGAAATCTATTAGTTCAGAAATTTGAGTTTCTCTTCAACGAAATGCAGCCATGTTTATTATTCCAAATGAAGAGAAAAGCACGTGATCACTCAAAGCAATCTTATTGGCTAGAGACTCCGATTTTATCGTTCGCTAGTGAGCAGTGAACACCAGTTCTGAAATCGCGGCAGAGAACATGACCGATTTTAGGCGCATGCGCAGATCCTTAAAATTGTTGCTCTACGAGAAAGTCGGCCTAGAAAATCGCTTCGTGTTAGATAGGCCTTTAGTCCCTTGCCATCCACTGCGAAGCATACAGAATGAAAATAGCCTAGGATTTGAACTCTGAAATCATTTTCTCCTTTTTTATGCTCGCTTCATTATCGGATCGGAACCGTGATCGCTGCTGGTGGCCCTGGAGCGTGTTTTGTAGTACTTACAGTGTTCCGGATCTGCCGCTGTGGTTCTCTTTGGACTTTTGAACGAATATAATTGCCTTAGCACCTATTTGATTCGATTTTAACTGAATAATTCACCTGAATACGTGATGTATGACTTCAGAAAAGGCGTAACTGATGCTGATCTGGGCGAGTATTCGGCATTAAATAATTTTTATTGCACTGTTAAAAGTATTGGAGAGCTCGTCGCATAATGGCCTGATGGTCAATGTCCTGGCATTTGTTTAATAATTAAAGCAATGCTTAAGACCCATTAGCGCCCAAACGGTTAAATAGCTGAAAATTGTTTGATCGATCATTGTTCAAATCTTCAAAGTTCCTACATGGGAGTTTTCGTGATTTTCTCCATGCCTAATGTGCGAGCTAGTTCCATTTAGAAAGCCTATCAGGAATTCCTTTCTTTAGGCAAAAACAGCGTTCGTATGCTTTGCCGTAACCAGAATAATCCAGTCCAAAGCAATGTTTAAAAGCTACAGAAGAAACAGTTTCAATAAAAATACCAGGGTTTTATTTGGAATAACATTAAGGAAGTTTAAAACATTATTCTGAAACTATTACAAATTGCTTCTGTTAGCTATTTGTTATTATGCCACCATCATCCTTCATCATGTTGTCATCCAAATCCAGCCCACCAGCGGCCGAGCGGTAAAGTCGCTGAACACTGGTAGTTCGGTCCGAGGTTCGAATCCCGCGAACGGGCTGGCTGCATGGGTGTTTTCGTGGTTTTCCCCATGTGTAACGTGTATACGAGCCAGTTTCCCTTAGAAAGTCCTCCACGATGGCATCCCTCCTCTTAGGCAGATAGCCCTCGAGGCTTTGCCATAATACACACACACATCCAAATCCAAGAAGCCGTTAAATGCAACAATCTCTTAAAAAATTTCATGATAATACTTAAAAATACTGTTCACACGTATTTACATCTAATATGTACAGCGACAAGTCGAAATGATCATTGATATTTAGCTTACCTAGGTAAAGAATCTTACATCTGCATTATGATTAATTATTATTTGATAATTTACAATCAAGGAGCTGACAAAATACCTACAAAGTAAAGTTTTTACGCGTTATTTGAATTCTTTCACAAGACCCACTTTATTATGGGACGAACTTCCGCAAATTTTAAGGATTTTTCGTAATTTTGCAACATAATAAATAAAAAAATCACGACTTTTTCTGTTTTCTATTGAAGTTTTGAGATGGTTTCCAATGTTTAAATGCTTTTAATATTTGCCGGCATCTTGAACAATCCATTTTCGAATACAAACCACGTTACATAATAACAGC